GATGTCCGGGTGGTGCTGCAGCTCCGGTGGAGGAGGGAACGGTGCGTTCAACCGGATCCGCAGGAGATCAGCGACAGAATAGTGGAGTAATTGAGTGATCCTGCCACTGGATAATGGCAGAAAGACAGGAGATCCCTGGAGAGGGCAAACCGGGGAGGCTGCAGTGTCACAAGGCGAGGAAAGAGAGCCGGAATCGAAGTAGCCGGCCTGTATTTGCTACCGGCGTTAGCACCAGCTACCGGCGTTGGCCCTCGCTAGCAGCGCTAGCCTCAGCTACCGGCGTTAGCCCGAGCACTTGCAAACAAAAGTGCTGGAGTTACAGCAGGATATATTAGGACAATGGAACCGATTAGGTGTAGCACAAGTCCATGAAAGCAAGTCGGTAGTGATGGTGTGAAAGCCGAGAAAACACTAAGGAGGAGGGGAATGAGCTCAAACGGCCGGAGAGCAGCGGCAACATGCATGCCAGCGACCGCTCTCAGTCCCACGAGTGAGGTAAGGCGGTGATAATGAAAAACACCGGGGAAGACAATATCAAATGGCTCCTCTACATCCTACACTGGAGATTAGTCCTCGGGAAAAGTAGGGTGGCAGAGGCAGTGGAGGCAGCAGGCAGGCTTTAGTGGTGCTGATTGAGTCTCTTGTCAAGAGCTGCAGGCTGGCAGCATGAAAAGTTACTGTGACTGACACACACACAATGAAAGTTCTTCAGATACTGTATGCTTCTTGCGTCGCCGAGACTGTACATTTGTACGTACAACACATGACAGTAGGGTCTGTTCTTAATGATATTTAAATATTATCATGGCTTCACACAATTAAAATTCTTTATCTGATTAATCACAGGGCAGCTGTAAAAAAGACAAAAACACCTGGTCTGCCAAGAGTGCAACATTTACAAAATAACATGCTGTACAGCAGGGGTTCCCAACCCCCAGTCAAGCGACTGGTACCGGTCAAGTCCGTCTGTACCATTTGGTACCGGGCCACATTGGGACACATGAAAAAATGTACTTCGGTTTTACTAATTTACTTCATTCTAAAAGAATCCAGTCATATTCCTTTACTGTTTTCATTCAAAGATATTCTGTCAATGTTTCAAAACAACAGGTCATTTAGACTCTGATACTAACAGAAGGAAGTCTAAAAGATGTTTTATTTTGAAAATTTAATGATCCTTCAACGATGGTGTCGTATTACCGGTCCACAGTCCGTGGTACAAAAAAGGTTGAGGAGCTGCTCCTGTACAGGAGATAAGCTGCGGGTCTCAGAAATGAGCAATTAAAAAAAAATCATAAACAAAGTCAATGTCACATGCGTTTTCATAAATTTCAAGACACTGACTTCCAACAAAAGTCTTTGTAGGTTCTACGTATGATAATGTAGACCGGGCTAACCACTTCAGACCAAAAAGATACATTTTTAAAGCACGGCCTAATCAGAAGCTAATCAGTGAATTAGCTAGTTAGGTTGCTAACGTGTAGCTAACATCCACACATTTGTTTTCTTGTTTGAAGATAATTTTTATTCCTTCACTTTTCTCTCCTAAATCCTCTTGTCAGATGCCGTCTTCTCACGTGACACAGAGTCTCTTCGCCATCCCAGTTATTGTTCGCTGAGCTCATAAAACGAAATGTCCTTTGTGCAACGGCTCATTCAAAGGCCACTCTAATGATTCATGCTGCAGAAAAAGGTTCTGCTAAAAACACAAACATTGCATTCTACTCTCTTTTTACTGCTCCACTTCTCAGACTTGGGTTGATTTTTTTTTTCACCTCTTCTTCACATTTGCTGTACATCTGCTTATACCTACCCACTTGTCTGTGTGTGTGTCACACACACTCTGCTCTGTGAGGATAATCTTGTTAGCACCAAATACACCACGTTCCGCTATATCTCCTCTTAATTGCCCCTGTGTTATTAATGAATGTAGAGCAGGGAAATCACTCTCTCAATTAGCATGTCTTATTCAGCAGGCGGCTCAGCTGAAGCAGCCACGGTGGCGGCGCGGTGGCGGCGCTGCTTAGGCACAAACACACCGGGGATAATTAAAGCACTCCACTTGTCACAGTATTTATCTCATCTGAAGAGCAACAAGCCGTTTCCTCAATTAGCCTTGTCATTCATTAGCAGCTGAGTGCCATTCATTTGAGTGTTGCTTTATCATTTCGCCACTCATTCATTTTATTCATTCTCTTGAGTTCTGCTGTGGAACTGGCTCACATGGCAGGGTCACGATTAGGGTTCTGGGTCTGAGTCTCTGATCGCATTTATGTAAGTCAGCTAGCTGAGGTTCTTCAGCTCATGCACCGATCTGCATATTTATCTACCTGAAATATAGGAGGTTCAAATTCAGTGAGCTTAACCCTGACCTTGACCCCTTTGACCCCTGGTTGTGTCAAGAACCTTATGCCTTGTAAAACAGCTGTTAAATGACATAAACACATTGTGTTTTTTAAAACGTCTTTTCACATTAATTTATCTATCGATGGTTCCATAGTGTAGCAGTTAGCACGCCTGTCTCAGAAGCAGAGAGTCCTGGGTTAGATTCCCTGAGGAACCACATGCTTGGCACTTGTTAGGGGCAGCCTGTTGACAGCATATCTGCTGCTAGCACAACAAGTTCCCAAATATGGGCTCAATAAGTTTGTTTTTTATTATTTATTTATTTTATTTGTCCCCCTACTAATGCATTGGTCTCCAACCACTGGGTCATGGACTGACCAAAGGTGAACGACCAAGAAGCTTGTGTCACCTAGGCGATACATCTTAAAAATGTCAAATCAAAACTGGGGATGGCTTAGTCCGATACTCAAGGTCGGTATTGGTCAAAAATTAAGGATTGAACATTGGAAAAAAAACAACTATAGCCTGTTCGATCTGATACCTAAGCCCAAATGCTCGCCTCAGCAACGATAGTTGGAGAAGAAAAGAAGGTATCAAATTGATGTAGGTATCAGTACTCAGGAAGGTGAAGAGGGAAGTGGCAAAGGCCAAACAAAAGGCATATGAGGAGTTGTACGAGAGTTTGGACACAAAGGAAGGAGAAAAGGAATTGTATAGATTGGCGAGACAGAGAAATCAAGCTGGGAAGGATGTGCAGCAGGTAAGATTGATTAAGGACAGAGATTGGAACGTAATCACAAGTGAGGAAAGTGTGCAGAGAAAGATGGAAGGAATACTTTGAGGAGTTGTTGAATGAGGAAAATGAAAGGGAAAGTAGAAACGAGGAACCAGAGACTATTGGGAAGAAGGTAGATCAGATTAGAAAGGATGAAGTTGGAAAAGTCCTGAAGAAGATGAAGAGTGGAAAGTCAGTTGGTCCTGATGACATACCAGTGGAAGTATGGAAGTGTTTAGGAGAAGTGGCGGTAGATTTCCTGACTGGGTTGTTCAATAGAATTTTAAAGACTGACAAGATGCCTGATGAGTGGAGGAAAAGTGTTCTGGTGCCAATTTATAAGAAGGGTGATGTGCAGAGTTGTAACAACTACAGAGGGATAAAGTTGAT